ATACGAAGAGCACTGGGAGTAGAGAGAAGGCGAGTGGAGATCAGTCTGGACGGCTTCCAAGAGGAGAGTGTGGTGCAGGGCTTCAGTGGAAAAGGAGGGACTTGGCAAGCAGACAGCGGCATTCCAGGGAGAGAACTATCCTCCCAGAAGCACCCAAAAGGAAGAGGAAGCTCACTCCAAGAACTAGGGTAGCTGGGCAGAAGGGAAACTGGCCTGGGCAGGTTAGCGACTGCCCCAAGGTCACAGCCTGCTGGCACCAACTTGGGCAGAGCTGGGAACTCTGAAGCTGTAGAAATAGAAAAGTGCACAAAGTAATTTATAGATTTAATGCTATCCCCATCAAGCTACCACTGAGTTTCTTCACAGAATTGGAAAAAAGCACCTTAAACTTCATATGGAACCAAAAAAGAGCCCACACAGCCAAGACAATCCTAAGGAAAAAAAAAAAAAGCTGGAGGTATCAAGCAACCTAACTTCAAACTATACTACAAAGCTACAGTAATCAAAACAGCATGGCACTGGTACCAAAACACAGATATAGACAATGGAACAGAACAGAGGCCTCAGAAATAACATCACCCAACTACAACCATCTGATCTTTGACAAATGACAAAAACAAGCAACGGGGAAAGGACTCACTATTTAATAAACGGTGTTGGGAAAACTAGCTATATGTAGAAAGCTGAAACTGCATCCCTTCCTTGCACCTTATACAAAAATTAACTCCAGATGTATTAAAGACCTAAACATAAGACCTAACACCATAAAAGCCATAGAAGAAAACCTAGGCAGCAGCATTTAGGACATAGGCATGGGCAAAGACTTCATGACTAAAACACTAAAAGCAATGGCAACAAAAGCCAAAATAGACAAATGGGATCTAATTAAACTAAAGAGCTTCTGCACAGCAAAAGAAACTATCATTAGAGTGAACCAGAAACCAACAGAATGAGAAAAAAATTTTGCAATTTACCCATCTGACAAAGGGCTTATATCCAGAATCAACAAAGAACTTAAACAAATTTACAAGAAAAAAACAACCCCAGCAAAAAGTGGGCAAAGGATATGAACAGACACTTCTCTAAAGATGACATTTATGCAGCCAACAAACACATGAAAAAAAGCTCATCATCACTGGTCATTAGAGAAATGCAAATCAAAACTGCATTGAGATACCACCTCACAGCAGTTAGAATGGTGATTATTAAAAAATCTGGAGACAACAGATGCTGGAGAGGATGTGAAGAAATAGAAACACTTTTACACAGTTGGTGGGAGTGTAAATTAGTTCAACCATGGTGCAAGACAGTGTGGCAATTCCTGAAAGATCGAGAAATAGAAATACCATTTGACTCAGCAATCCCATTACTGGGTATATACCCAAAGGATTATAAATCATTATATTATAAAGACACATGCACACATATGTTCATTGTGGCACTGTTCACAATAGCAAAGACTTGGAACCAACCCAAATGCTCATCAATGATAGAGTGCATAAAGAAAATGTGGCATATATACACCATGGAATACTATGCAGCCTGAAAAAAAGATGAGTTCATGTCCTTTGCTGGGACATGGATGAATCTGGAAACCACCATTCTCAGCAAACTGACACAAGAACAGAAAACCAAACACCACATGGTCTCACTCATAAGTGGGTGTTGAACAATGAGAACACATGGACACAGGGAGGGGAACAGCATACACCGAGGCCTGTCGGGGAGTGGGGAGCTAGGAGAGGGACAGCAGGGGGTGGGGAGCTAGAGGAGGGATAGCAGGGGGTAGGGGGATGGGGAGGGATAACATTAGGAGAAATACCTAATGTGGATGATGGGGTGATGAATGCAGCAAACCACCATGGCACGTGTATAATTATGTAACAAACCTGCACACTCTGCACATGTACCCCAGAACTTGAAGTATAATAAATAAAAATTTAAAAAGATATCGCAAAGTGCACCTCCAGCTTTCACTGAAGTAAGGCTGAGAAAGGAAAGTGAACAGACCCTGCCCTTCCGCATTTCACCCACACCTCCGAACATCCAGGGGCCAGGAGTATGTGTAGAAATCACCAGCCCAAACTCAAAATGGCTCTAAGGTTAAATTCACATTCTATCCCCACATATAATGATTATCTTAAAAATTAAAGTGACTGGGCACAGTGGACCACGCCTCTAATCCCAACTCTTTGGGAGGCCGAGGTGAGAAGATTGCTTGAGGCCAGGAATTTGAGACCAACCTGGGCAACATAGCAAGACCCTATCTATATAATAAATTCTTTTAAATAAAACTAAATGTTAAAAATTAACAAATTCATTAATTCAGTTGAATTAAAATAATGCTTCTCCTCCACCCCCTTCCAAGAATGTCTTCCAGTAAAATCGAGTCCAGGATTGTGCAACCCTAATTTTATGTAATAACAGCAGCAGTAGCTGACATTTCTGTAACACCTTATCTGTATCACAAGTCCCAATCCCCGCTGCAATGCCATCGAGTTCCAGCAGCACCCCCATGTTCAGATGCACCCATACAGAGGAGCACAAACGGGATACTTCCTCTAAGGTAAAAGTTCTGTCCACAGTCTCACTGCTACAGACACAGTCTCGCTTTCAGAGGGGTAAGTTTGCAACTGGACTCCAAAGCTAAGCAGTGGTATAATTTGGGGCTTGTTAAATTTCCCTATACTTCTTTCTTCCTTTGCACAACAGAAGTAATGAATAATGCATTCCTCAACAGGTTTTGTCCATAGTGAATTGTGATAACAGAGTAAAAGTTCCAGGCTGGGCAAGGTGGCTCACACCTGTAATCCCAGTGCTTCGGGAGGCCAAAGCGGGAAGATCACCAGGTCAAGAGATCGAGACCATCCTGGCCAACATGGTAAAAGCACGTCTCTACTACAAATACAAAAATTAGCTGGGCATGGTGGCACACACCTGTAGTCCCAGCTACTTGGGAGGCTGAGGCAGGAGAACTGCTTGAACCCAGGAGGTGGGGGTTGCAGTGAGCCGAGACTGCACCACTACACTCCAGCCTGGGCGACAGAGATTCCGTCTCAAAAAAAAAAAAAGTTCCAAACACAGCATGTGGTACATAGCAGGCCCTTAAAAAACAAAACCAAACTTCTTTTTTAAACCAAGCTGGTCCCTGAATGCTGGTGAACTTCTCCACACTAAAAGGATGAAATGGGGGTTTTAAAAAACTGTGCCCTCCCCTTCTCCCCTACCCCCACCCACAGACCCTGATGATGAATGAAATCTTGGCCTGGGGCTGTCAGCCAAGGCCATCTGGGCCAAACCACAGGGCAGGAAACAGCAGCCTTCTTCCTCCTGCTCCTGCAAGAACTCTGGCCCAGAGAGGACATTCCTTCAGCTGACCACACCCATTTCCCTGAGAACATTTCAGAATATTCCATGCTAGGCCATGAAACTCCAGGAAGTAGCTCTTACCACCTCCTCCCAGCAGCCGGGAGAAGACACCCCTCCCTTCCAGGACTCCATGCACATCTTGTGACCTTCCCCCCTGCCCTCCCCACAGAGGGCAAAGGGTCAGCTCGCCCACCTACAACCCGACTCTCTCCAGCATATCTAGGCTGGAGAGAGATGTCCTGGGGGGCTGAGGGGCTCGTCCTTGACTATGGCCCTAGTTTGGCTTCTTAATTTCTCTTTACTTGGGCCCTGGACTGGTCATCTGCCCCCAGTCCTGGGATCCACTACAAATAAACAAGACTCGTCAAGGACTATCCAGAAACACTTCCCTCCTCAGCCATCCTCGATGGCTCCCACTGCCTCCTCAAAAGTTCAGAGGCCACACCTGATGGTCCTCCACAACACAGTCCAAACTCACCCTCTGTTCCATACAGGACTCACCTGCTGCACCAAAGTGAAATAAACCGGGAATCATACCCATGCTTCTGGACCTGTAAGCACAGACTCCCCTCCTACCTCCACCCAGCAGGGTCCCACTCCCGCACCCGCCTGACTCTGCCATGAGCTTTTCATTTTTCTCATCTCTGAATTCCTCCAGCATGCTACTTCCAAACTCAGATATCCACATGCCACCTGCCAGCCCCATGTGGCCCCCGGATGACTTCACTTAATATCTCCCTTTGAATCAACCTACTCTTTTATGTGAACAAAGTTATTCCAACAGAAACTTTGTATCTCCACCATAAATAGAAAAACCATCCCACGTGCCATAAATAGAAGGCAACTGAAAAAGACAAAGTTACTCTTCAATACACGTGAAAATAAGTAATAGTGAAAACATGTTTGAGTGCTAGTCTGTATCCCGATGAGGTAAACCTGTACTACACAGCTTGTAAATGTACACCCTCTCGAGCGGGTGGGTCCTGAGATGGCCCCTGCCTGTAGGGAGCCCTGACATCCTGAGCGGATCAGCTGACCACGGCCTTCAAAGCCCTCACAAATCCCATCCCGCTCTGAGACACGCAGCCTAAGCACTTTATTTTTGCCTTCCTTGTGGCCCTTGGGCCTTTGGCCCCGTCTAACAGTTATCTGGGGGACTTGTCACCAAATGTGGGACCCCGGGGAGGGAGCAGAGCCTCAGCCCCTGCACGCGGCATGACCCACAATACAAAGGGCTCCCCAGCAGCAGGCTCCAGTCTGCTCAGGGCGCCCTGCCCCCACAGGACCCAGGCCACCTGCTGCTAGCACACAGCCCCTCTGCCCTGCACCCCCAAATCCATCTCCATCCACTGGGGTGTTTGAAAGGACAACGCAGAGCAGCAGCTGAGGCACCCACGGGCCCATGGCCGTCCTGCAACCCTGGCACCTCTGCTGTGGAAGCTGCAGGACCCCTCGCAGCCCGGAAAAGCAGGCTTCCAGTCAACGATTAACCAGACTCCCCAGACAGACCAATCCTTTCCCCAGAAGTGAGCAAAGTTCTGGAAAAACCCCTGCAGAACCGCCCGGACTCTGGAAAGACCGAGGAGGTATCTTCCAACGTCTCTGGAGCCAGGAGGCCCAGAAACACCTACCAGGAACAAGGGGCTTCACCCAGAGGACGCTCCACCTGCGGAGGCCACCCTCCTCCCACCAGCGGCGTCAGGAGACACAGGTGTTCCCAGAGGATCTGAATCACTGGACTTGTCAATAAGTGGCAGCCACCAGGCAGCCCAGCTGGAGCCAAACCAAGGCCTGGACTCTCCTCGTGGATGCGAGCCTGGCAAGGTCCCCATGGCCCCTGGTGACACAGCCTCCTGAAACTGAGGGATTCAGGACACTTTCTCTTAGAGGGCAGCCCTCTTACGGAATGTTCGTCTGGCTGCTTTTACATATGTCACATCAAACAATTTTTGGTTAGAAAGAGCACATTTTCTGAAAAGGTATCCAAAATATTCATTACAGTCAGTGGTGGGTGGTGCATGGGACGTCAGCATCTCATAACTTCCTGAAGTCCCAGCGGCCGGGAGCGGGGCCCCTTTGGGGTGTGGCTCTTCAGGAGGAAGGCAAACTCAAGCACAGATAATGACCGATGCTGTCAACGATCCTCTTCCAAGAGGCACTTCCGGAGGGCAAGGGCAATGAAACAACCCTCACGTGCCAGGGAGCGCTTATGCCCTGACATCTGCTGCAGAGAGAAGGAAGATGACAAGGAGCTCCTCGCTGACCTTCTCATAGTGCAAACAAGCTACTGGAAAAAATGTGTTTTGGTGCAAAAAAAAAAAACCCACCATCCGTAACCTATCCCCATGAGGAATAATGGCAGGTGCTAGAGAGAGAGAGAAAGAGAGAGAATGAATGAGAGAGAGGCAGACAGATGGTATAATCACCAAGAGGCTCTCACACTGGCTTCCAATGAGCCAGGGGTGCCCAGTGTCTCCTTAGAACTGTGCAGGTAGAAGCAGGGGCTGGGAACAAGGTGGGCTTTTCCAACCCAACCCAAAGCAACTCAGCTTGTGTCCCCTTCATCTATCAGGTAAGATTTGATTTGAAGAAAAGATCCTGCCGTAAAAATGTTGAGAGGTGCTGATATGTTATATGAAAGTGTGGAAGGAGGCCAGGCATGTCATGCCTCTAACCTCAGCTACTTGGGAGGCCGAGGCAGGTGGATCACCTGAGGCCAGGAATTTGAGACCAGCCTGGCCAACATGGCAAAACTCCGTCTCTACTAAAAATACAAAAATTAGCCAGGTGTGGTGGCAAACATCTATAGTCCCAGCCATTCAGGAGGCTGAGGTGGGAGGATGGCTTGAGCCCAGGAGTCTGAGGCTGCTGTAAGTCATGATCTAGCCACCATACTCCAGCTGAGGTAAGAGAGTGAGACCTTGTCTTAAAATTAGAAAAATAAAATAAAATTCCTTGGTTGACCAGGCATAGTGGCTCACACCTATAACCCCAGTACTTTGGGAGGCTGTGGGCAGATCACTTGAGGTCAGGAGTTCGAGACCAGCCTGTCCAACACGGCAAAACCTGCCTCTAACAAAAATCCAAAAATGACTGGGGCATGGCCATGGGTGTCTGCAGTCTCAGCTACCTGGGAGGCTGAGGCAGGAGATTTGCCTGAACCTGAAAGGTGGAGGTTGCAGTGAGCCAATATTGCACCAATACACTCCAGCCCACGCAAAAGAGCAAGACTGTCTCAAAAAAAAAAGAAAGAAAGAAAAGAAAAGGGTGGAATGTGCTAGAAGCTGTCTCTGAATGTGCAGCACCACACATCCCAGTGTGCAGGAAATCAGCTGGTATTCATTCTGCTCATGTGCTCCATGTTGAAAAGCAATGCAGGGGAGATGCGACCCTTCACAGGGTCCTGCCTGACCACTCTCCCCGTCCCCTGGCAGGACCACAGGCCAGGAGGACCAAGTCCACAAACACAGGGGACACCAACTGAAGCTGAGTCTTGAGCCAAGTCAAGCATTTGGAAAAGAGACTTGAGCCCCAGCAGGGCAGGGGCCGACGTTGGCATCAGAGCCAGATGTATGCACACAGCCCAGAGGCCAAAGGTATGTGAGAGACCCTGTCCATGACGGGAGCTGATCTGGGTCAGTCACTGGGGCAGGCATGGTGGCTACAGGCTAGTTTCACCTGTGCCCAGAGGTCACTTCACAGAAAGGCCACGTCTGTGGGAAGGTCCAGGGTGGACCAGTCACCAAGCTATAAAGAGGCGAGTGTTCGCCATCCATACAGCTGAGAGCTGCAGGAGGCTGCCACAGTGCTTTGCAGACAGCAGAGCCACAGAATCCAGACAGCTGTGTAGACAGCACCTTCTACACCCTCACCCTCACACTGAGCTCCAGAGTCCAGACAACCGTGTAGACGGCACCCTCTACACACTCTACACACCCTCACACTGAGCCCCAGAGTCCAGACAGCCGTGTAGACGGCACCCTCTACACACTCTATGCACCCTCACACTGAGCCCCAGAGTCCAGACAGCCGTGTAGACGGCACCCTCTACACACTCTATGCACCCTCACACTGAGCCCCAGAGTCCAGACAGCTGTGTAGACGGCACCCTCTACACACTCTATGCACCCTCACACTGAGCCCCAGAGTCCAGACAGCCATGTAGACGGCACCCTCTACACACTCTACACCCTCACACTGAGCTCCAGAGTCCAGAAAGCTGTGTAGACGGCACCCTATACATACTCTACACCCTCACACTGAGCTCCAGAGTCCCCAAAGCCACGTAGATGGCACCGTATACACACTTTACACCCTTACACTGAGCCCCAGAGTCTAGACAGCCGTGTAGATGGCACCCTCAACACCCTCTACACACACACACACGGTGAGCTGCAGAGTCCAGCCCTGTAGACAGCACCCTATACACACTCTACACCCTCACACTGAGCTCCAGAGTCCAGAAAGCCGTGTAGACGGCACCCTCTACAGATTCTACACCCTTACACTGAGCCCCAGAGTCCAGACAGCCATGTAGACGGCACCCTCTACACACTCTACACAACCTCACACTGAGCACCAGAGTCCCAAAAGCCGCGTAGACGGCACCCTCTACACTTTCTACACACACGCGCTGAGCTCCAGAGTCCAGACAGCCGTGTAGACGACACCCTCAACACCCTCTACCCACACACGCTGAGCTGCAGAGTCCAGACAGCTGTGTAGATGGCACCTATACACACTCTGCACCCTCACACTGAGCTCGAGTCCAGACAGCTGCATAGATAGCACCCTCTACACCCTCACACTGAGCCCCAAAGTCCAGACAGCCATGAAAACGGCACCCTATACACACTCTACACCTTCACACTGAGCCCCAGAGTCCAGAAAGCTGTGTAGACGGCACCCTCTACACCCCCTACACCCTCACACTGAGCCCCAGAGTCCAGACAGCTGTGCCCCTCCCACCTTTAGCAAAGCAAAGGCCGGGGACTCTGCTGGCCTTATGCAATGGGCATATGTTTTGTCTACCCAGCATTCCTTTCCTTTCTTTGAGAATCAGTCTTCAGGTCAAAGTAATCATGCCCAGTGCTTCTGGGAAAGAGACACAGCCCCTCCTTGCTCCTCTTCCTGGGTGAATGTGATGAGGATAATAAATTAGAATATCCCCGCCCCCTAGGCAGAGTAACTGGCTCAGGGCATGTGACTTGGGCCAAGCCGTACATGTCCTCCCTGGGGTCTCACCAGAGTTCCTGAGAAAGAAACCCAGTGTCTGGGGCTTGAGATGGCCAGTAGCTATCTGGCTGCATCTAGAACAGCCTGTCTGCAAGTGCAGCTAAACAGAGCTGAGAGTTGACGGTGTATCATCCCACGCCCATTGTCAATGGCTGGATCCAGCCATGCCTGAACCGCTATTCTGATCCCCAGCTTGCCAGGCCCACAGAGCCCCCGTTTTGCTTAAGCTAGTTTGAATTGGGTGCTTGTTGTTTGCCATCAGGAGCCCTGAGTAAGTCACCTGCAGTGTGTAGGAGGGAGTGACCATGCAGCACACACAGTAAACAGATGTGCCGATGTCTTCCCAGACACAGCAGGAGCCGGGCGTGAGCTTTCTGCCACCACTCCTGCTCCTGACTGCCCCTTGGGAGGCCTGTGCCAGCAGCAGTTGGGCCCAGAGACCCTAGGCCAGCACTGCTCTCCCTCCAGGCACAGCGCTGACCCTGGCTCCTCTGCAGCAGCCACATGGCCCAAAGGAGCCTCTCCATTGGGGCTCCCTCCACGGCCCCTGTATGGCAGGGCAGCCTCTCCTGTCACCATGTGTGACCTGCTCCCTCGGTCTTCACCACTCATTCATGTCTGCCGGGACCTCTAACTCTGTCCCAGGGTATCCCAAACCCTGACTCATATCCCAGGCTCTCCATTCAGGCTCCATTAACCAACTACCTCTGAACACCTCAGGTCTGCTGGTCTTTGGGGTACCAATGCAACCAGAAAGAACACAGGAAGGAAGCCTCACGTCTGACACGAGAACCTTGGGTGCTAACTCGAGGGCGGTGGGTGCATTATTAGCACCCAACCACCAGGCACCATCCTCTGATCCACTAACTGCGGACACCAGGCCCAGTGGCCACGGCCCCTCCTCCCTCTCCATCAAAATCTCACCCCACAGACACAGCACCTCCTCCCCCTCCATCAAAATCTCCCCCCACAGACACGGCCCCTCCTCCCTCTCCATCAAAATCTCACCTCACAGACACACCTCCTCCCCCTCCATCAAAATCTACCCCCACAGACATGGCACCTCCTCCCTCTCCATCAAAATCTCCCCCCAACAGACATGGCCCCTCCTCCCCCTCCACCAAAATCTCCCCCCACAGATCCGGCACCTCCTCACCCTCCAGTCAGAATATCACCAGCTGAGTCTGAATGTGAATGTAGGTGCTGAAATGCTTAATAAATCCACAGGTAGGTAAGAGTCAAAAGAAGGAGCCAGAAAGAAATAAGCTGAATGACTGATACACAAAATAATCTGAAAATTAATATAAATAGCAAATTAAAAGTCCCCAGCTAAGTGACAGAAAACACCTTAAAAAGCCCGAGAGGGCAGAAACGAATAAAATAAACCTATAATTGCAAAATAAAAGCATAAAAGAAGCTGTGTTTGAGATAAAATGCGACAAATGTGATAAATTCATGTTTTAACATTAGTAATGTGTGGGCAGTAGTGCTACCTGGAGAACTGGCTGCATGAAGCCTTTCTGGAGGCTGGGCTGGGCCCGTGGGAGGGCAGCTGGCATGGCTGGCGCCAGTGTGGGGTCCTGGGGCCAGGGCTTGTGGGAGGGCAGTCCCCAAGGGCCAACAGGCATG